TTTCCTTCTTCTTTTCAAATTCTCATTGTTTTGTGTGGCGCATATATATTTGGTGCCATCTTGTACTAATATTTATGTGTTCAAATAAAAATAAATAAATAAAATATGTGTGTAGAAAGTTTTACTCACCCTGTTCAAAAGGAGTGAATTTAAAATCAGGATAAAGTTGACGAAGTTTCGATGCATTTGCAGTTTTCTTAAACTGACCATCCGCTTTAGTTGTGTCAAACTTGATATTAGATTTTCGTCAAGGGGTTTTAAATTGTCATAGGTACACAAGAATAAGAAATCAAGCAAAATTGACAGTGTTCATTTTACTCATCTACAAGCATTCTCCTAAAAAGTTTGCGAAACTGAAACATTGCACTAGCAAAATGAAGTTATCACTCGGTAATAATACTATAGTGTGTTCACAATATCGATTGTATTATTTATATGCTATGATCTATGTATAAGTCTTAGAAATAGGATATATGTACTATTGTAAATATTAGACAATTATGGCTAGAAAAATGTAACGCCTTATGAAAGTAGATATGGTGTTAATAATAAGGGCCAAGACAACTTGAAATAGAATTGATGATGCGCGAAAAAACTATTAAGTTTCTGAGGCCGTGTAAACCAGTAATGGCTTCCGAAAAGCTATACAACAAAAGATGATATTTTTTAAATGCAAACTATGTAAGATAACTTAATGTAATCTGTGTAAAGATAGATTTTTATGAATAATTTATTAAAATTATGTATTTGTTAGTCAACCATATAGTGAATAATGAAAGCGTCATTACTCATTTTTCCATCTTTTAAGTCAGTAAAAATTAACCTTAGAAAAACAAGTTATTTGATACTGTATGAAAATGTAGAAAGTTACACATCCCACATTTGGGCTATTGGCTATTTATTGCGACTGAATTACAAGTACTGGGATGCCAATATCCTTGGAACGAGACTTACAGTTTCATCCTTTTGAATATCTCTTAATAACGATGACTTCAGTGAAATATAGTAAATTCGACACTGTTTACTTGTTTTGACTTATCAACGCTGTCTACTATCAAGCAGATGATGAACAAACTGTTATGAACGGGGAATTAAGAAGCCCAGACAATTACGAAAGCTCGTGTTGTGTAGAATAAGATAGGGACAAAAATAAATATAAGTGTTTTACAGGTTTTGAATGAAATGCAATAACGTCCCAAGAAAATAGCTTTCGTAATTGTCTGGGCTTCTTAATTCCCCGTTCATAACACAAACTGTTGAAAATACGATATTTTGCTCACATTTATTGCGTAATGCGAGCAAGTATCACACCTTTTGTCTTTCCTATGTATACGCTCCAGTATGCAAATGTAAACTGGTGAACACGATTGGAAGTAATGAGGTAGGGATTTGTCCATTTTTGTCTGTGTCAATGGGCAATGCGTTTGATACAGGAAGACTAGTTTAGCGGCTGAATAGGTCATTCGTTAAGTAGCATTTAGTGCAAAACCAATCTTGTCAGGTATTTTATCGATTGAGCTAAGTCGTAAAAGGACTAGGCTTTTCTCGATAGTATATTCCAAGCCCTTCGTTCCTGTTTTCCTATTATTTCATTTCTGGGATAACTACAGTTTCAATTAATTAGCCACGTAATATTTTATTTTATGATCTCAATTACAACTTCACTCTTGTGTCACTTAAGACTTTACCCACCTCACTCTATTAATTTACCCACTTCCAGGTGTTGTTACGTAACTTTCGACATTAATCTTCATTTTGTGGAAACTTGTCTCCATGTGTTTTTAAAATGTTTGCTCTAGAATTCCCACACTAATAGATGAAAACTTTTGAATCCTGCTTAAACTACTACAACTAAACAGACAACAGCCATCCAAGTGCTGAGCTTATCGAAGAAACAGCAGTCTGTAGACACCCTTAAGTGGTCAATCACAAGTGAGACTACAATTTACGAACGACTTTTGAACGACGCTAAAGTGACCTTGAGAGTGTTCACCTAATAACTAGGACCAAATGAGGGTTATGAACCAGCGTAAGGAATTAGAATTATGACTGACATTTGATGGTTAGCGTTGGGAATTAAATGTAGGATTTTCATCACCAATTGACATCAGCTATAATGCTAAGACTCTCTTTATCCAAATGGATGGGTGAATTTCGCGCCAAAATTTGAGGCCTGTTATTTTATACGTGATTGGTTTGTCCATAAATTATAGTCTCGCCCAACCACAATACTGGTTATTTAATGCTTCAGCTAAAACATATTTTGTCTTCAAGCTTTCTACCGACCTAGTCAAAATGTTGTGATCAGAACTAGATCGAATACTGAAAAACGTTTTTGGCCTTCAATGAAATTGTTTTAAGTTGTAATCTGAACACAGCACAACAACTAAGTATCACCACTGGGAATAGTGGGTTTCCGCATGTGTTGTTTTTCATTGAATATGAAGTGATTTGTAGACAAGTGGAATTGTTCGGTATCTTGGATTTGTCAGATTATTTATAGAATAGTCCAATCCACAAATTGATAATATATGTTTTCAAACCCTCAGGAACTTATCTTACACTCAAATTTATATTACAACTCTAAATATGAGTAGATTAATAGTTATTTATTTTTCAGTGTATACTATTCGTTTAGATAAATTTGACGTCTATATAAAATAATGAATGAGCATCTAACATGAATATAGATTTAATTGACCACTTACTGTATTCGTTTATATTCCCTTTATCCTACTGAGGTTTGAATAGCCTGGTAGTACCAGAAATACTCACACAATATGATCAATAACCTAGTAAAAGAATCTCCAAGCAGTTCACATTGAATTTTTATTTGGATAACGCATACATAGCATTATCAAATGAACGAAATAAATACGTAGAAATCATATAGATAGCATATTTTGATTGAGGAAACATGATCAAAATAAACGAGAGCATGAATTAATACTAGAGATGCAACCATATCTAGAACGATCATATCAAATTAATGTAAACGAAAAAACACCGCATATTACAGACGAAGTGACATTTTTGTGGACAGTTTTTTATTCTTTTAATCCCGGTTGTGCTAACTTGCAACTCTGTCAAGTCACTCATTTAGCTTGAGTCATCGCCTTATCTTTTTAGTTCTTTCAGATGAGCATGTCCAGTTACTACTTTACATACAATTATTCTATGGTTAGTGTCTATTTAAAAACAATGTCCAAGTCTGTTGCCAATAATAATAATAATAATAATAATAATAATAATAATAATAATAATAATAATAATAATATAGTTATAAGGTATCATAACAATAGTCCGGATGTTTGACTGTTCCTTGCATAGATAGTGTTAGTTGTCATAAACAATATTGCGGGAAAATATTTAGATAACGTTATGATCTTTTTATGTAGCAATTATCAATAAAACTATGGATAGGAATATACTAGCTTGGATCACGTTGACTCTTGGGATAATTCATTGTGAAGCACTATAAAAGTACTAAGCAGCTTAAGAGAGCTGGAAGGTAGTAAGTCTTTTGGAAACTTTGTCAACCTGTTAACAGTGCAGTTGCCAACTTCATGAACAGACGTCATATAGTGATTATGTTGAACAGTTTTGGCAAAGTTTAGCATCAGACACATACTAGATCACAAATCTCGTGGATTGCTTCATGGAGAATAACACAACGTAGCCATGCAAACTGATGTAGATTGGTCATATTATGAAAAACGTTCATCCAGATTTGTGCGAATAATTATTTATTTCAACTGAATATTTAGAACATATTATCAGGATTATTACAAAAATCAAAATCAAACTATTTTTTCCATAGCTAACCAGATTACAGTGAAACAATATAAAAATACATTGAAAATAACTAATCGTATAGTGCCGTATCCACAGACAATTGTAGGCACAGCTAGCACCGAATAGTTTCATAATTTTCATTGAACCATTTGCAAGTATATTGAATAGCTGAAAAATATACAAGAACAGTGAATAGAAAAATAACTGAAGTAAACAAGATCTGTTTAGAGTATATTAAATTCTGTAGGACGTAGTGGGGTTAGACGAGGTTGCCCAACCTCACCACTCCTCTTCAACTTGGCCATCGATGACATTCTGGAAACAGATCTGATGAATGTAGGCACTGGTGGTGCGGATCTGTTTCCTGAAGAAAGACTTCTCGACCTTGAGTATGCGGATGATATTGTCTTACTGTGCGATAATGCCCAAGCCATGCAATCCGCACTTAATCAGTTGGCAATCAATGTCCGTAGATACGGTATGTGCTTTGCACCTTCGAAGTGCAAAGTACTTCTACAAGACTAGCAGGATTCCAATCCTGTACTCACCCTGGATGGTGAGCAGATAGAAGTAGTCGAGAAGTTCGTGTATCTAGGTAGCTGCATAACTGCTGGTGGTGGCGTGAGTGATGAGATCAATACACGTATAGTGAAAGCCAGAGCGGCTTATGTCAATCTGGGCCATCTTTGGTACCTTCCCGATGTCAGTCTGGCTGTAAAAGGTCGGATCTACAACGCGTCAGTGAGAACAGTTCTGCTTTATGCTTGGACATGTCCTACGAATGTCGTCCCAGAGAATTCCACGTCGTGCATTATTTGCCGACTCTGGGACTGGTTGGAAAAAGCGGAGAGGTGGTCAGTGTATGACATGGTGTTGGGGTATGAAAGAAAGCTGGGGTCCGAGAGATGGTGCGACACAATGGCTAAAGACGTTATCAGATATGGCTTAGAATAGGAGCCAGTGGCGATCCTGCTGTAACCTTCTTTTACTTTCTTCATAAAAATTGGTTGCTTCTTCCTTAACTGAAAGATCTCTTCTGATTGTACGTTTCTGTTTCCCCATTATTATTATTATTATTATTACTATTATTATTATTATTATTATTACACTACCTTACACTAATCTGTTCGTTATTGTTCTTTTTTCTAACGCTCCCTACCTTTTCTTTTTTTCCTTCTTCTTTTCAAATTCTCATTGTTTTGTGTGGCGCATATATATTTGGTGCCATCTTGTACTAATATTTATGTGTTCAAATAAAAATAAATAAATAAAATATGTGTGTAGAAAGTTTTACTCACCCTGTTCAAAAGGAGTGAATTTAAAATCAGGATAAAGTTGACGAAGTTTCGATGCATTTGCAGTTTTCTTAAACTGACCATCCGCTTTAGTTGTGTCAAACTTGATATTAGATTTTCGTCAAGGGGTTTTAAATTGTCATAGGTACACAAGAATAAGAAATCAAGCAAAATTGACAGTGTTCATTTTACTCATCTACAAGCATTCTCCTAAAAAGTTTGCGAAACTGAAACATTGCACTAGCAAAATGAAGTTATCACTCGGTAATAATACTATAGTGTGTTCACAATATCGATTGTATTATTTATATGCTATGATCTATGTATAAGTCTTAGAAATAGGATATATGTACTATTGTAAATATTAGACAATTATGGCTAGAAAAATGTAACGCCTTATGAAAGTAGATATGGTGTTAATAATAAGGGCCAAGACAACTTGAAATAGAATTGATGATGCGCGAAAAAACTATTAAGTTTCTGAGGCCGTGTAAACCAGTAATGGCTTCCGAAAAGCTATACAACAAAAGATGATATTTTTTAAATGCAAACTATGTAAGATAACTTAATGTAATCTGTGTAAAGATAGATTTTTATGAATAATTTATTAAAATTATGTATTTGTTAGTCAACCATATAGTGAATAATGAAAGCGTCATTACTCATTTTTCCATCTTTTAAGTCAGTAAAAATTAACCTTAGAAAAACAAGTTATTTGATACTGTATGAAAATGTAGAAAGTTACACATCCCACATTTGGGCTATTGGCTATTTATTGCGACTGAATTACAAGTACTGGGATGCCAATATCCTTGGAACGAGACTTACAGTTTCATCCTTTTGAATATCTCTTAATAACGATGACTTCAGTGAAATATAGTAAATTCGACACTGTTTACTTGTTTTGACTTATCAACGCTGTCTACTATCAAGCAGATGATGAACAAACTGTTATGAACGGGGAATTAAGAAGCCCAGACAATTACGAAAGCTCGTGTTGTGTAGAATAAGATAGGGACAAAAATAAATATAAGTGTTTTACAGGTTTTGAATGAAATGCAATAACGTCCCAAGAAAATAGCTTTCGTAATTGTCTGGGCTTCTTAATTCCCCGTTCATAACACAAACTGTTGAAAATACGATATTTTGCTCACATTTATTGCGTAATGCGAGCAAGTATCACACCTTTTGTCTTTCCTATGTATACGCTCCAGTATGCAAATGTAAACTGGTGAACACGATTGGAAGTAATGAGGTAGGGATTTGTCCATTTTTGTCTGTGTCAATGGGCAATGCGTTTGATACAGGAAGACTAGTTTAGCGGCTGAATAGGTCATTCGTTAAGTAGCATTTAGTGCAAAACCAATCTTGTCAGGTATTTTATCGATTGAGCTAAGTCGTAAAAGGACTAGGCTTTTCTCGATAGTATATTCCAAGCCCTTCGTTCCTGTTTTCCTATTATTTCATTTCTGGGATAACTACAGTTTCAATTAATTAGCCACGTAATATTTTATTTTATGATCTCAATTACAACTTCACTCTTGTGTCACTTAAGACTTTACCCACCTCACTCTATTAATTTACCCACTTCCAGGTGTTGTTACGTAACTTTCGACATTAATCTTCATTTTGTGGAAACTTGTCTCCATGTGTTTTTAAAATGTTTGCTCTAGAATTCCCACACTAATAGATGAAAACTTTTGAATCCTGCTTAAACTACTACAACTAAACAGACAACAGCCATCCAAGTGCTGAGCTTATCGAAGAAACAGCAGTCTGTAGACACCCTTAAGTGGTCAATCACAAGTGAGACTACAATTTACGAACGACTTTTGAACGACGCTAAAGTGACCTTGAGAGTGTTCACCTAATAACTAGGACCAAATGAGGGTTATGAACCAGCGTAAGGAATTAGAATTATGACTGACATTTGATGGTTAGCGTTGGGAATTAAATGTAGGATTTTCATCACCAATTGACATCAGCTATAATGCTAAGACTCTCTTTATCCAAATGGATGGGTGAATTTCGCGCCAAAATTTGAGGCCTGTTATTTTATACGTGATTGGTTTGTCCATAAATTATAGTCTCGCCCAACCACAATACTGGTTATTTAATGCTTCAGCTAAAACATATTTTGTCTTCAAGCTTTCTACCGACCTAGTCAAAATGTTGTGATCAGAACTAGATCGAATACTGAAAAACGTTTTTGGCCTTCAATGAAATTGTTTTAAGTTGTAATCTGAACACAGCACAACAACTAAGTATCACCACTGGGAATAGTGGGTTTCCGCATGTGTTGTTTTTCATTGAATATGAAGTGATTTGTAGACAAGTGGAATTGTTCGGTATCTTGGATTTGTCAGATTATTTATAGAATAGTCCAATCCACAAATTGATAATATATGTTTTCAAACCCTCAGGAACTTATCTTACACTCAAATTTATATTACAACTCTAAATATGAGTAGATTAATAGTTATTTATTTTTCAGTGTATACTATTCGTTTAGATAAATTTGACGTCTATATAAAATAATGAATGAGCATCTAACATGAATATAGATTTAATTGACCACTTACTGTATTCGTTTATATTCCCTTTATCCTACTGAGGTTTGAATAGCCTGGTAGTACCAGAAATACTCACACAATATGATCAATAACCTAGTAAAAGAATCTCCAAGCAGTTCACATTGAATTTTTATTTGGATAACGCATACATAGCATTATCAAATGAACGAAATAAATACGTAGAAATCATATAGATAGCATATTTTGATTGAGGAAACATGATCAAAATAAACGAGAGCATGAATTAATACTAGAGATGCAACCATATCTAGAACGATCATATCAAATTAATGTAAACGAAAAAACACCGCATATTACAGACGAAGTGACATTTTTGTGGACAGTTTTTTATTCTTTTAATCCCGGTTGTGCTAACTTGCAACTCTGTCAAGTCACTCATTTAGCTTGAGTCATCGCCTTATCTTTTTAGTTCTTTCAGATGAGCATGTCCAGTTACTACTTTACATACAATTATTCTATGGTTAGTGTCTATTTAAAAACAATGTCCAAGTCTGTTGCCAATAATAATAATAATAATATAGTTATAAGGTATCATAACAATAGTCCGGATGTTTGACTGTTCCTTGCATAGATAGTGTTAGTTGTCATAAACAATATTGCGGGAAAATATTTAGATAACGTTATGATCTTTTTATGTAGCAATTATCAATAAAACTATGGATAGGAATATACTAGCTTGGATCACGTTGACTCTTGGGATAATTCATTGTGAAGCACTATAAAAGTACTAAGCAGCTTAAGAGAGCTGGAAGGTAGTAAGTCTTTTGGAAACTTTGTCAACCTGTTAACAGTGCAGTTGCCAACTTCATGAACAGACGTCATATAGTGATTATGTTGAACAGTTTTGGCAAAGTTTAGCATCAGACACATACTAGATCACAAATCTCGTGGATTGCTTCATGGAGAATAACACAACGTAGCCATGCAAACTGATGTAGATTGGTCATATTATGAAAAACGTTCATCCAGATTTGTGCGAATAATTATTTATTTCAACTGAATATTTAGAACATATTATCAGGATTATTACAAAAATCAAAATCAAACTATTTTTTCCATAGCTAACCAGATTACAGTGAAACAATATAAAAATACATTGAAAATAACTAATCGTATAGTGCCGTATCCACAGACAATTGTAGGCACAGCTAGCACCGAATAGTTTCATAATTTTCATTGAACCATTTGCAAGTATATTGAATAGCTGAAAAATATACAAGAACAGTGAATAGAAAAATAACTGAAGTAAACAAGATCTGTTTAGAGTATATTAAATTCTGTAGGACGTAGTGGGGTTAGACGAGGTTGCCCAACCTCACCACTCCTCTTCAACTTGGCCATCGATGACATTCTGGAAACAGATCTGATGAATGTAGGCACTGGTGGTGCGGATCTGTTTCCTGAAGAAAGACTTCTCGACCTTGAGTATGCGGATGATATTGTCTTACTGTGCGATAATGCCCAAGCCATGCAATCCGCACTTAATCAGTTGGCAATCAATGTCCGTAGATACGGTATGTGCTTTGCACCTTCGAAGTGCAAAGTACTTCTACAAGACTAGCAGGATTCCAATCCTGTACTCACCCTGGATGGTGAGCAGATAGAAGTAGTCGAGAAGTTCGTGTATCTAGGTAGCTGCATAACTGCTGGTGGTGGCGTGAGTGATGAGATCAATACACGTATAGTGAAAGCCAGAGCGGCTTATGTCAATCTGGGCCATCTTTGGTACCTTCCCGATGTCAGTCTGGCTGTAAAAGGTCGGATCTACAACGCGTCAGTGAGAACAGTTCTGCTTTATGCTTGGACATGTCCTACGAATGTCGTCCCAGAGAATTCCACGTCGTGCATTATTTGCCGACTCTGGGACTGGTTGGAAAAAGCGGAGAGGTGGTCAGTGTATGACATGGTGTTGGGGTATGAAAGAAAGCTGGGGTCCGAGAGATGGTGCGACACAATGGCTAAAGACGTTATCAGATATGGCTTAGAATAGGAGCCAGTGGCGATCCTGCTGTAACCTTCTTTTACTTTCTTCATAAAAATTGGTTGCTTCTTCCTTAACTGAAAGATCTCTTCTGATTGTACGTTTCTGTTTCCCCATTATTATTATTATTATTATTACTATTATTATTATTATTATTATTACACTACCTTACACTAATCTGTTCGTTATTGTTCTTTTTTCTAACGCTCCCTACCTTTTCTTTTTTTCCTTCTTCTTTTCAAATTCTCATTGTTTTGTGTGGCGCATATATATTTGGTGCCATCTTGTACTAATATTTATGTGTTCAAATAAAAATAAATAAATAAAATATGTGTGTAGAAAGTTTTACTCACCCTGTTCAAAAGGAGTGAATTTAAAATCAGGATAAAGTTGACGAAGTTTCGATGCATTTGCAGTTTTCTTAAACTGACCATCCGCTTTAGTTGTGTCAAACTTGATATTAGATTTTCGTCAAGGGGTTTTAAATTGTCATAGGTACACAAGAATAAGAAATCAAGCAAAATTGACAGTGTTCATTTTACTCATCTACAAGCATTCTCCTAAAAAGTTTGCGAAACTGAAACATTGCACTGGCAAAATGAAGTTATCACTCGGTAATAATACTATAGTGTGTTCACAATATCGATTGTATTATTTATATGCTATGATCTATGTATAAGTCTTAGAAATAGGATATATGTACTATTGTAAATATTAGACAATTATGGCTAGAAAAATGTAACGCCTTATGAAAGTAGATATGGTGTTAATAATAAGGGCCAAGACAACTTGAAATAGAATTGATGATGCGCGAAAAAACTATTAAGTTTCTGAGGCCGTGTAAACCAGTAATGGCTTCCGAAAAGCTATACAACAAAAGATGATATTTTTTTAAAAATTTAGGAGACAACTCAAATTATAATTATAATTCACTTTGGCTTGAATGAGTACCTGCGGAAACAGAAGAGCCCCTATCTGTAAACCGTTAGAAACACCATTTGTAAAGATGTTTTTTTATGGAGTTTCCTCTGTACTTCATGTAACACATAGACAGCTGGTAAATCTACCAAAAGAGAGAAATGCTGTTTATTAAGTCAACAGAAAGTTAATATGAAAAGATTTACCGAGCTAACGTGTTGACTGACAAATGAAGAATATATTAAAAGAAAATTTGAAAAGGATACAACGAGTTTAGGACAATCCATCGCCTTGGCTACTGCTTCGGCAGCTTGACGGATCGAAATTTCATCACTTTCGGGTACAGAAAGTATGATTGGAGAAGAATCGTTGTACTCCCGTAAAGCCCATATGATGAGATGACCCAAATCAACGGAATAAATAAACTGACGCAATGGCTTACCAGAACCCCAAACAGTTAAAGGTTCGCCATTTTCTAAGCATATATATAGATATACCATTTAAGGATAAATGTTTACGTACTCAGTATATATAATAAAAACTAGTATATGCATTCCAACAAATCTAAACGCAATTGACAAGTGCTTAAATAGATCAGCATAACATAAGGAGGATAAGTCCAACGACAAATGATCCATGAAGAGATCAATTAAAATCATGTAGTGAACACAAACATGTAAAGCATCTTTTTATCATAACGTCATATATTTGAGGTGCAGAAACATAAGTGCTGTCCCTGAGGACTCACCACAATACGAAACTAAACATTACCATACTGCACACGATGAATCAGAGCTATCTTTTAGATTATTTACTCAAGACATTTTGTATTATGACACTTTGAATTTCGAACCCCTTTATGAACTTCCGGCAGAATTTTTTATTTGATTAAACTAAGTGTTCACCCATCAAAATTTTATGAAATGTCCTCTATGTTGCTAAACATTAAAAAATATTCTTGCGCATAAATTAAACAAATCAATTACCTTAAATAATTTTTAAACCACATAATTTTCCAAAATCTAATCAACGATGGTGATTTTAAGAGCGACCAAACGAAAAGTTAGTATTAAAACAGTAAATTAGATCCAAAGGCAATTAAACAAAACTAGATAAATTACTTTTAGCCAAGTATGCTTTATGAATAAGACCAGGAAGAACATGTCCTTGATTAATATCAAAGTTATCAAATGGACCAAATACATTGGTAGGTATAATAGATGTATAAATAACACCAAAAGTCTCGCTATACCCTCTGAAATGAGAAAACAGGAAGGAAAAACTTCGACAATAATTTAGACAACTGAACACATGTATAGAAGAACCAATACCAGAAAATCTAGTAGCACTAGTCATAAAAAGTCTCTTTTCCCAGTAGAACAAGACGAAATACGAACACTAAAATTCATTTTAAGTAAAAGGACACGAGCTTTGAAGATAATACACCAACTAATGAAATTAAAACTTGATTGCCAGACTTAATTTATATACCATCTGGCACTTTGAATTTATAAGCCATTATAAAATTGTCTAACAACCGATTATTCAAAACTAACAACTGATTTGACATTTCATCAACACGTAAAAGTTATCAAACATTCTTGGGATAGTCCACTCAATATCTAAATAACTTCAATAAGAGGTTGATAACATAAAACAAGATAACTTTAGTTAAATAGCGTGCCTTCTGAAGACTAAAAGAAAAGGGTGGGTTTACCTATTCATTACATCAATCATGCGCTTAGCATAAGAATATCCATAATTAGAATCATGTGGAGGTCCATTATGTACCATAGTTTCGTCGATTGGATAAGTTGTACGATCAGGAAATATACACGTTGAAAGACATGAAATAACCTTCTTTACACCAACTGCATGGCTACTTGATAATACATTGTCATTAATATGCATATTTTGCCGCTAAATAGAAAGTAAAGTAGGATTGTTTAAAACCAATATATAAACAAGGTAAGAGAGTTATATGTAGCATGAAGACTTTTACAACGTGTAGAAACCTGTCATTATAGATAAACTTTTTGGGAAGCCACAGAGATAACAGTTTTGTTACAAATGGAAAGAGATGCCGAAAAATTGCATGCCAAGTAATTGGTGATTATACTTTTAAATGAATACTGTTTTTTATAGATAGTTGACTGAGTCAAGGCTACCGGTATCCTCCGTTCAAAAGACCATGGAGTTTAGCACTTTTACTCTCCGTGAATGAATAATTTGATATATATATCCACTAATGACGTGTGTTGGCAAAAACCAATAGGAATTTTTGAATCCGTCGGAAATCAACTCATCAGATCTGATTAGATTTTCGAAATAAGTGAATTCGTCGACGTACTTAACTGCTTCATTCTATATCCATAGTTGAGGAGTTGATGCGAATCAGTTCTGAGGCAATATTGTGTCTAAAGAAAAAAAAACCGAACCCCCAAAAGGCTTGCATTGCAGCTTTAGGCTTTCAGAAGACTATTTTAGGAGCGTCTTCACAAACCAGGACCGCATAGACACTTAAATCTCCTGGTAAAGAAATCCCTACAAAGTCAGGTGAGGGGGCTGTCCACAAAAGAATGCCTATGATAAAGTTAGATAAATATGGAGAAAACGGATAAACCTGATGAACACTACTCGATATCGTCAGTTCTGATGACAGTTCGCCATCAGCTCCGACTCGACAAAGTGTTTAAGTAGAGAGCCTGTACGATGTCGATGTGCTCCTTTGGTATACCTTCAATGGCAGATGCTGCCATAAAACTTGTCGATCTATTGAGTCAAACATTGACTTAAGGCCAAGAGATACAATTATAGTTGGGAGTCGGTAGGTAAGTCTATGTTTTAAATCAGACGAACCGGGAATGTCTGTTCTACACAACAACATCCAAGTCTGAAACTAGCCTGGCTTATCAAGGTTCTCTCTCCACGAACCCTAGTTAGACATCAGATGACTGATGAGGCTAACATTTGAGACACTATATTGATCAAACCGATATTTTTGTGGCTATCGAAGATTTTTGTTCTTTCTTATAGGCTGAAACAAACAGCATAAATCAGGCAGATGGAATTACATTCGGTTACTAGACTTTAGCTAATTTTGCGGTCAATCTATCTGCTAAAACTAGACCACAATCCTCAGAGACCTTCGAGACCTATTTGGCAAGCCTCTACCCTGATAAAAATAGACAACTGGAGGGGGTAGTTGAAGACCAGTTGAACTGCTCTTCAACGTGTTTTGCCAATCGTTTCAGTCTCCTGGGTTAAAATCCAATTGTCTCACCTTTTTTCGAAACATTATCGCTAGCTGTCGGACTTTTAATACCTAATTCTTCGATAAATCTGAAGTTCGCTTGAATATATCCATAAAGGACTATATTTCTCCATTTTAAACACTACTGTCATTTCCTTCTCAACCAAGCTTCGAGATGTTATATTTTATGTAGTGAATCAAGGACAACTAATCAGTGCTTCAAAAGTGGTTTACTACAGCACCTTTTCCATTATTACAAATAAATAAATTTACTTTAACTTACAAAGAATTCAAGATTGTCAGACATATTGGCAAACAAACCGCCAACTTTGGCAGCTAAGTGAATTACGTAGGTTGGGCGCATGCGTTCAAAGTACGCCCGAGTAGCATTACTGTCCGTCAGATCAACATCTTTAGAAGATAAAAATATCCACTTTTCATTATTTCGTTTGAGGGAACCGTTAATGTTCTCTAGAGCTAGTCGAATCCCATTTCCCACTAAACCAGAACCCCCTGTAACTAACACAGTAGTTTCCATATTTTAAGTTTATAATGTTATGAATGAGACCAGGTGTGTTCTAAGCTGACGATTTAACAGTATCTAGAACTTCGATAGATCAGCTTTGGTAAGTATTCTGTAGGACATATAGGCCCTCTGAAAGGAAAAATTCAGGTTAATTAAATGATAAAAAATGTTTTGGATAAGATCAATTTGCAATGTAAATAACATTGGTTAAATAAATATGGTAATCTAATTTCAAAACAAATTACACTTTCACGAGATTCGATGAGCGAAACCACTCTTTTACAGCGAAAAAAATGCAGTCGTTTACTGCATAATCCTAGACAAGTAAACAAGGATTTATTCGTGTCCTTGGGTTTCCATACGACCTATCAGCTGTAAAGCATAGAGAAAGCTACTTGGCTGTAGTCGAAATGAGAGCTTTCTGATACATATAGCACTTGTTTTCTAAGAGTTCACAGGAACCGGTTAGTAAGGCTAAATTGCAGATTAAACGGAATAAGCTAGTCAAATCACTACCGGAAAGTGTTTTGAGAATGCAACAATACCCAACATCTTTGTAACGAACTAGAACAAACCAACTAGTTTCTTCGCGTCAGTTTCTTGATGTTAGAAAGCGGTTTCAGATTATGGACAGGACCCAGTGATATTTATATATAACTATACAACTAAAATAGTTCAAGTAATCCCAAGCAAACAAAAAGGGGAAATAAATGTGAACTTTGGGGAAATTTTGAGAAAAACTCTTTAATGTCGGCGTGAATATGGGCGAAAATGCATCAAAATGTCGCTGTCTTTACAGACCGTAGTAGGCAGTGTATATTTTCCCCGAAATTTCCCCACTGAGAAGGAATGTCTCCAAATTAACACTTTTATGTTCCCAAAAATGACTACTCCTCAAAACTTACACCGATTGTATAATCCTCTCAGTGTTCAGAAGGCCTTCTGTACTGAAGATTAATGTGAACACAAACAAACGAACGAACAGAAGACAGAAAATAAAAACGAACACGACGGAAATAACTGGGACATTTCTTAGGAACAGAAGGGAGAAGAAAAGAGGGAACATGATGAAAAGTGTCCATCGTCGCCTACCACAAGAAAAAAGTGAGACTTTTATTCACATGTCTGCTTAGAGAAAAAAAAGTGTATTGAAATTCCTTCCAAATAACCTACTTCACGCAAAAAATAACGCTAAATTGTCGACGATATCGATATCTTCGATTTACTTAGTTTATTGTCAGTGTATTTACTAAAGACTGTAAAGTCGAGTTTGCATGTAAACCCATGACCAAGTTTCGATTTTGTCAGACAAAGTCATAGTTTATCATGTCCACGGGACTGACAAAAACCATACCCTCCACCCGACCTTGAGTGACGCTGAAAATGACCTTTTCAACATCTAACATCCGTGGGACGAGCTAATATGAGCCGATTGATTTATTCAAACTTGCTTTCAATGTTTTTGCAAGCTTTCAAGTATTTGAGAATGATTAAAAATTGAAATTTTTTCGCTGAGCATGAACAATGAAAATCAATCAAATTTGAAATGTTCAAGCGGTTCAAATAGTTGTGGACGGAATAGAAGAAGCTTTCGCTTAACAAGCTTCCATGTCTAGTAGCAGGGGATCACGAATAGCTCCGGTCAGGAACCTAGGTATGTTAACGATAAAAGAGGAAAACAAATTGATATGTCATAGTATGATACTATCTTTAAGTTGCCTCTTAAAAGACTCCTGGGAAGTCACTTGGACTACCTCGTTGTGCAGCCAATTTCAGCATTTGACAACTATTAAGGAGTTGAAGTTGTGTCTACAGTCCGTTCTGCTATGTTGTATCTTCAATTTCTGGATGTTACCCATTAGGTTAGTGTTGGAACTAAGCTTAAACAGGTGTTTGAGAGAATGTCCAGAAGTGTTGAGGATACTGTAAGTCATTAGAAGGTCACCTCGAAGACGCCTATACTCCAATGGGTAAAGGTTAAGTGATTGGAGGCGCTCTTCATAAGGTTTAAATTTGAGTCCTTGAACTGATTTCGTGGCTCACCGTTGGATACGCTCCAGGGTGTCCTTATCCTTTTGGAGTGAGAGAGGAAGTACTATGTTTCCGTACTTTAAATGGGGACGGATAAAACTATTGAAGATTATATGGAAAGTTCTTCCGTCAAATTGGCCAAAAATATTACCAATGTTACCAGTGCAAGGTTTGCTCGGAAGGTATTTTTGTCACAGTTAGCGTGAGACTTTAAATCGTAGGGCATCAGGACTTCTAAATCTTTTTCGACTTGGGATATCACTATATAGGAGTTTCCTAAGTTTTAACTGTAGTCTGCGACATGTCGCAAATGGACTACTTTATATTTTTAGGTGTTAGAGGTAGGCTCGTTGTCGTCTGCCCAACTTTGAAGTCGAGTCAGATCCTCCTGAAGTGCCTGGATATCGTCTTGGTTGCGTATCTCTCTCCAAAGTTTCACGTGACGGCAAAAAGTAATAAGTCTGACGTTACCTGTTGTTGAATATCATTTATAGAAATCAAGAAGAGAAGAGGTCCTAGTACTGAGCCCCGGGAGACCCCACTAGGACATTCCATAGCCTTAGATAAAGTAAAATTAACCCTGACCTTAAAATGTCGATTTTTCAGATATGAAATGAGCCAATCAATTAGAGGTGGTCTGATACTTAGTCGTTTGACCTTATTGATAAGACATATATGGTTGACTCTATCAAAAGCTTTTGAGAAATCAAGGTAAATGGTATCAACCTTCCCCTTGCAGTCAAGCATGGTTTTCCACCTGTCCACCGCAGTCAGCAGGTTCGTTATACAAGAGTAACCCTTCCTGAAACCATGCTGTTGGGGTGAGTAGAACTTTAAGGACAGTAAATAGTCATGCGTAGCATCGCATATCAGGGACTCAATGATTTTTGAAGGTATAGAGAGAAGAGCTGCGGTTTCCGTAACACCAAGTTAGCACTCAGGTTCACTACGGAAAGCTCTGTGCAGTTGCAGATGAAGCTGTCATCAGCATAGTTGATGTGGGTCGATTGAAATGTCCGAGAGTATTGTTCAGCCAAAAGGTTAGCGGCGTCGCCGTCGTTATTGGTCTGGCCGTTAGGACCTAGCAGTTGGGAAACTCTTGTTTTGGCTTGACGAAGAGAGGCTGCATAACGGAACAAGCTTTTTGGAATAGAGACAAATTTATCCATAAGCTTTATCTGGTACTGAAGCCTGTCTTCTCTTATAGCCTTCGTGAATATGTTCCTTATATGTTTGTATTGCCTGTACGCTGCATTGTTGTCAGTTCGTTTGTATTCTGCACAACAGTGACTTTTTCAGCTTAGCAGGAGAAGAGTGAGGTTTTTGACGATTGTAGGTTGCTTGTAGCTTTTGCGGACCGTTTGGGGAACTGACTGCTTTGTAGTACATAAGATCGTGTGCAGCAAGAAGTCCCGATGAGTATCCACATTGAGCTGAGGGTGAACATCCCAACCCACCTGTTGTAGATAGTCCTGTAGAGCTGACACATTCAACTGCTTGGAATTCCAGAGCATGTTGTTGGCGGAATATCTTAGCTCAGTTTTGCTGACAAAACTGAAGGCTATAACAGCGTGATCGCCTTTCCCCCAGGGGAGCCAGTATTGAGAGGTTATCAAGTAGAAATTCTTCGTTTGTAAATAAACAGTCTAAGCGCGACGGTGTCTGACTGTTTCTCCAACGAGTTGCCGACTTCACATTTTCGTGTAATCCCAAATCCTCAATGAGATTAAAGAACCGAGCTTCAGTTGAGTTTTCGCTACCCATATAAGTATGTTCCGCAAAAGTGACTCTGGGGAGATTGAAGTCCCCTAGAATCAGGATATGAATGAAACCGAGAAGCGTAGGACGGGATAGTCCTTCCAGCATACGACTGTCATACTCGATGTCGGCAGTGGGTTTCCTATGTATGACTCCGACTATGCACCTCGAAGTAGTAGACGATCTTACAGAGCGCCAAATAGATTCCTCAAGATTTTTAAACTCGAGGTTATGAACTTGGTGCACCTCCAAGCAAGATCGTATGTATACGGCTACTCCACTCCCAATTCCTGTTTTTCTGTCGTTGCGAAACAAAGACATCCCAGGTTTGCTAGCTCCTGTTCCGAAAACTGAGATATCCAAGATTCAGATATTCCTATCAGATGAGCATTAGTAACATTGTTAAGTTCACATAGCTCATCCATTTTGTTTGGTAGACTAGCGGCGTTCTTCTATGAGCAGTTTATGCTTTCAATTTGAAACACGTGAGCTTTTTCCTGTTTGTCTGTATGAGTCTTACGTGAATGGACAGGTAGCCTACCCATATAAGGTTTGCCGAGTTGGTAGGCCCTGTCCTTTACACGTTTTATTATTATCAAGACAGTCCACAAGTGGAATGATCAGCTCCGACTTAACTTTGTGCTTGGTCCTGGCTTCATACGGCCTGTCCAGGTGCATGTGGATTCCAGTCGGCAACTGACGTCCACTATAATGACACGTAAATTTAATGATTTTTGTAGCCACTACAAAAATACGACGCCATCCTCTTTTTGTTTATATTGAATGTTCAACCCCACTGTATTTAATATCTATGGTTCATATCCTCAAAAGCCCATCAGCTAGCTCAAGAAAAGCTGAGATTGTTTAGACACAAGCCAAATCATATGGTGTATTTATGGACAATCCGGTCACTTAACATCCCATGATCATCTCTGTTGCATATGGTTGCAAAAAAGGACAATGGTGATTGGTGTCCAGCTGGCTACTTGATATGACTACTTGATATGAAAACCGCTCTCGATTCTTACCCATTACATAACGTTCACGAGCTTGAAGGAAATCACCAAATTTTCACATATTGCTTTGGTTATTGCATACTACCAGAACACAAGGCATGCTAACGATGTCCTTATAATCTCAGATATCACTTCAGGCTCTATGAACTTTGCGTACACCTTTCCTTATACGAAAGGTGGCCCGAACTTTAGTTACATCCGTCAAAA